CTTGCCTGTCCTTTTCTGGGGGGTGCCTGTGTGAGGCTCAGCAGTTATATGTGCTGTGGAGACACTTGCCTGTCCTTTTCTGGGGGGTGCCTGTGAACACAGTGAAGGTCACGTTTAGATGAATTCAGGTGTTTTCTTCTCCAACCCTATATGGTTGCTATGAGTTGGAATGGACTCGATGACACTTAACAAGTAATTGGATGGAATAAAGGAAGCAAATGTCACTGCATTCCTAGGCACGGGCTGAGTAAAGAGGGAAGGAAGCTGAGGGCGGGCGGGCAATCCAGGCCCTGGCAGGAGGCTGTTTGATCAGCTTGCAGGGAAAGCAGGAGCCTGTGCTGGGAGTAGGGCTGTGGTGCTATTAGTGATGACCCGGAAGCGGGTGGCCGGGGTGGTCCGGCAGATAGGTCCATCGGGAGGAGGCTGTCGCATGTATGGCCTTTGGACAGCTTATGGAGAAGTCTTGGGGACAGACTGGTGCTGGGGAGATAAGGATGGAGTGTGAAGCCAGGGCCCCCAGCAGGTGCAGAATACTAGGGGAGGGGGGAGCCTGGAGACACCAACTGGGAGGGAAAGCGAAGGGCATTGACCCGGGAGCGTGAGTTCTGTGAGAGGGACAGACGGGGACAGTGATGTCTGCACCGCCCTTCCTGAACCTGGCTTGAGGGGCAGGGGGACGGGAGACCCTGTAGGGCAGCAGGAGGGCCTGGGGTGGAAAGACTGGTCAGAGGAGCCAGCCGGGAGCTAGGGAGCAGGTCTGCCCTGGAGGGTGTGGCTGCTGGCAGACACCAAGCTAAATGGAGGTATAAGAGATGTGTGTGTGGGGGGGGGCTCTCAGGGTGGGTACCCTGCATCTGATTGGCCTGGACATGGCCAGGAGCTGTGCCCTGAGTGCCCACTGTGGGCAAAGAGACCACCACCTGTCGCTGACAGAAGGCCACAGCTGGAGGGCCCAGTTGGTGGCCAGCATTCGAGGTCAGTGTCCACTCCCCTGAGGCCTCTGCATCACACTTTGTCACACCAACCACAGGTCAAGTCAGTGACCACCGAACTCAGGGGTGGGTATGCCTCTGCCCCCCACTGCAGCCCCCGTGCCCCAAGTCCACTGACTTCCACCGACAGCTTGCCAGCCAGCTGTCCCTGCCTCCCCCTCGGGGTGGGGGTGGTCTTAGCCAGGACAGCTAGAGGTCCTCACGCCCTCCTTCCAGGGTGATTGGCATTTCCACCAGGTCTCACCAGCTGGGCCAGCATGGCTCTTGTGAGCCTCCTGGAGATGCTGAACCCCACACCACAGAATGCTGAGTGTGAGCAAGGCCAGGCTGCCTCCCCCTGCTCGTCTGTCTCCTGGCTTCTGGTGGCCCCAGGTGTGTTCCCCAGCATGGAAGCCTCTTCACAGGGCAGCTCCTCTTATACAACAGCCCCCTCAGACGGAATCAGGACCCCCCTCCCCCTAATGTGGCTTCATGCTAACTGATGACATCTGCAAAGACCCATTCTCCAACCAGTCCACCACTCAGGTTGTGAAGTGCCATCGAGTCAGTACTGACCCATAGTGACCCTATATAGGGTTTCTGAGGAGGAGCTGGTGACCTTGACATTCAACCTGACATTGCAGTCCGGGTCACTAACCTGCCATACCACAGCAGAACCACTAAGGTTGGAAGTTCAGACTGTCTTCTGGGGGAGACACCATTCACCCCACAACAGCTGCTGACCCCTAGTGGTGGACTATGTACTTATCACTGGGCGCCCCCTACCAGCGCCACACAACCCTTCAGCACCTGTTTACAATTATTCCCATTCTATGAGTGAGAACACTGAGGTGTGCAGAGAAGACAGGACCTGGTTAGGATGACAGGCCAGGGGACAAAGACCTGGTGACCCTTCAGGCCAAGGAGGTGACTAGGGTCAGGAGAGGAGGGCTGCTTCCAGCAGCTGTGTGGTGATGGAGGCTGTGGTGGGTGGTGATGTAGTAATGCTGATGCAGGCAGTGGACTGTAATAAGGTCAGCAAAATCATTTTGTCAGGCTCTGCCAAGGCCACTGAAGTTCAAACCATTTTGTTAAGTGCTATTGAGTCGGTTCCTACCCATAGTGACCCTTATAGTGTTTCCAAGGAGCGGCTGGTGAGTTGAACTATCGACCTTGCGGTTCACACCAGCCTTCTGGTCCCATGACTCCAGCCATCACATTATTAAATGTTTGACCAAATATAGCAGGTTACTTTTTAAGTTGATAATTTTGCATGGCCTGTGAATATGTTCTAAGTTTTGGCAGAATAAAGGTTCCCCACCCCTGCTCTATAGGGTCTCTAAGGCTTTAAATGTTTGCAGGAACAGAAAGCCTTAGAGCAGCTGGTGGGCTCGAACCATGGACCTTGTGGTTTGTAGCCCAGTGCTTATCATGTAGAGTCACCATGCTCCCAAGTGGGGCCAGAGATGAACCAAATCCAATCCCCTTGAAGCCTGGGAGTGCTGGGTGGCCAAAGAAGAGAGCGAGGAGGGAACTGGGGCTGTTTTGGGAAAATCGGGGGAGGGTGAATGGCAGAAGGATCCAGGCCTCTGCAGCCACCAGAATCCAGAACACGAGGCCCCAGACCCAAGATCTCCCTCCCCACCACAGCCTAACAGGTACCTGCTCCCTGGGGCTCACCTGCTCTCAACTCCAAGTCTGGGACAGACGCCAGGATCTGGAGTCTCAGCCATCACCCTCAGCAAGCCCCACATGCGGCACCAGATATGAGACAGGACACCCGGTGCCCCCCTGTCCTGGCCCAACGGGTCCACATTCCCGCAAACATTTGGGTACTGACTGGCCCAAGTCCCCACTCCCACCCAGGAATTCGCAGACGAGTGCACCTGGAGTGGTCTTTATTCCCATCAGTAGTGTAGAAGAGGTAAGATGGCACCTCCAACCCAATGCAGGCTGGGCAGCTGTCTCTGGGCTCACCGTGGCCCAATCCAGAAGACTGACAGGGCAGGCCCCAGGTAAAACATATCTGCATCCCCCGACATATAATCGGTGCCTAAATCACATGGGTGCTCTGAACTCTTGGTTATCAGGTTCACAGTGTGCACAAGGCTGAATCCAGTGTTGAAATTCAGGGCAGCTTCCAGCCCAGCAGCAAATTCAATTTCTTGAGAAACATCAGGGGTGGGACTGGGGGGACGGTGACCGGGGTCCAGACCCACCTTCCTGCAGGGACACACACACATGCATTCAAACTCACATCTACTCACTCACGTATGATTCATACATACACACATGCACATGAAACCCGTGCAAAGTCCCACTGACCCTTCGTGGGAGTGGGGGCTGCGGACAGAACAGCCACGGTAGAGGGGGCTACCACGCACACGTCACTACCAGCCCTCCCACCACACCAGGAGAGCCAGGCTCACTGGCACTGAGCCACATCGCACCTGATCTGGCTGACTAATGAATACCATTCAAGTTTCCTCAGGAGAAGAGAAAATAGCTTCAAGTTACCAGGACTCTGCCCACAGTGCTGCTTCCAATCATGACAAAAATATTCTGGGTGGTCTGTGGAAAACTGGGAAATGTGGGGGATTTGGCCTGAGCAGAAGCTTGTCCCAACCACAGGTGGAAGCAGCCAGCCGTATCGGTGAGACAGGTCACCAGAGCAGTCACAAGCCCACACATCCCTCAGTGAAGGTGGACAGCTGTCAGCCAGACCCCTTACCTAGGACTCAAAGGGGTGGGCAAGCCAACAGTGACCATCAAGGCCAGCCACAGCCCCACCCCTGAGGCTCAGGGTACGCGACAGATAAGTAGCATGGCTCATTGCCACCGAAGCCATCTGGCAACCTCAGGAAATGTTTTCTGGTGCTAAAGAGAATCCATCTCCAAACCCCAGCTCTCTCGGTCGGTCACTGTTGGGTCAGGATGGCATGCTCTCTAAGACAGGAAACCCCTCTCTGCCTTCCTTGCCTAGAGTCCTCAACGCACTGAGCTGACTCCGCTGGTGACAGTACAGGGTGGTCGCGGGGTCTGCACTCCCCTCCCCCCCCCAACACCAGCTGTACGGTTGCCCTTGGTGGCTCTGGAAGTGCCTGGGGCTGCCGCGGCAGGGGTTCCTACAGCTACCCACCCAGGAGCAAGCTGCTCCCTCCCCGGGGGCCCATGGGAAACTCACTCCAACAACCACTTTTCTGACACACGCATCCTTCACCTAGCGTGGTGCCAGGCGCTCTACAGTGCTTACTGGGGAAAGGCCGGGAGGGAAGAAACATATGCCACCTTTCACACTCAGGGCCCGCTGGACATCCTCAGAGCAGGCTGAGAAGGGCTGGACAGTTTGTAGAAGCAGCACCCACGGGGTGCCCTCTCCGCAGTGAACTCAGGGGGTGGGTCCCAGAGTGCAGGTGCCTGTCCATCAGAGGTCACACCGGGACCCACCGTGGGGGGCTGGTCCCTTCCCTTCTGCCTCCGGGACACCATCACGCTAACAGGGACTTGACGAGGCCACAGTGGAACTTTCGGACATGGCGGTAGAGGTCCCCAGACTGCGTGAAGCGACGCTCGCACCAGCGACAGGCGTGCGGCTTCTCGCGCGTGTGCACCACGGCGTGGCGGCTCAGGTTGTGCGAGTACTGAAAGCTCTTGCCGCACTGGGCGCATGTGTAGGGCTTCTCGCCCGAGTGCGTGCGCTCGTGCCGCTTCAGTGTGTACGTGCACGAGAAACCTTTTCCGCACAGCGGGCACGTAGGCGCCGCGCCGTCGGGGGAGAGCCGGGCGCGGGCCCCATCGCGCTCGCGGAAGTGTGCGCTCAGGTGCAGTTGCAGCACGTGGGCGCTGGGGAAGAGCTTGCTGCACAGCGGGCAGATGCGGAGGGGCCCGTCGGGCGCCAGGTCCGCACCCCGCAACGGCTCCAGGACCCCCGCCGGGCGTTCAGTGGCCGGCACGCAGGGGGGCGGTGGGGGGCTGTGAGGGCTCTCGGGGCCGCTGCCGCCCTCATGTTCCGACAGCGAGTCCTGCTCAGCCTTGACCAGCGGCTGGGTTCCGGGCGGCTGCGGGCGGCTGCAGGGAGCTGGCTGGAGCACGCGCGGTGGGCGCCCAGGCTCCGGCCGCGGGCTTGGCTTCAGCGACAGGTCCAGGGCCCGGTCGACCTCTCCAGGGCAGTGCCAGGGAGGTGGCCCAGCTGCTCGTGGGGGGTGGTCGGTGTGGGCGTCCACCGCGGGGACCCTGGCCTTCTGAGCGGCTCGCTCTGGCTCCCGCAGCCGGCCCTTGCACACCTTGACGATATCGTACATGTGCAGGTAGCTGGCGGCGGCCAGCACGTCCTCCACCGGCAGGCCGCGCAGGTCCAGGCGGCCCTCGTACATGAAGTCCAGGAGGCACGCGAAGGCGGGCGCAGTGACGATGTCGCCGTTGAGCCGCACGCCATCGCGGCCTCCCGCGGGCTGGTCGCGGTAGAAGAGATGGAAGTAGACACTGCAGGCGGCCAGCACGGCCCGGTGGGCCGGGAAGCGTGCGTCGCCCACCAGTACCGTGCAGTCGCAAAGGAAACCCAGCTCGCGCTGCTGCCTCAGGCGGCCCAGCAGCCGTCCGCCGTGCCCCGGGAACTCCATGCCGCCGCCGCCCGCATGCCCAGCCCCTGCCGGCCCCCGGGACAAACTCGGCCGAAAGTTCAC